CATGAAAATGATATTAATTACTATATATATTATAAAATTTAGAATATATTATTTGAAGTTAGATTAGATGCAAAAAATATAATATTTATTATCAGATTGATATATGAAGCAAAGCATAGTGCAGAGTGACAACCTGACAATATGTAGGCACAAGTAAATTTTAATAGAGTAAGTTTAATATGAATTGATTTGCATAAGAACTGTAAAAAAGAATTCACATTCATAAAACAATCTTTACAAATATGAGTTTATTATATTCTTATACAAATGTAATAAAAACTATCTTAAATTCAACATAGACTAAATCCAAGTTTAACAATGCATATTTTTAGCTTATAAATTAAACAGCTTACATCTTAATTATGAGAGAGCTTGAATATTTAATGTTAGTTTTGAACTAAAGTAAATGACTTTAGAAATAAAAATCATTATTAACATAATACTGTTGTAATGAACTATTCCAGGAATGTTACATAATTTTGAATAAAATATAGCAAACTTACATTATCACTATGATTAATATCACATATTAGTCATATTCAAATTATTTGGATTCTAGCCGATAATATATATTGGATAATGTTAAACATATGGTCAGTTAATTACATAAAACCAGATTCTTAAGTAACTAAAATTGTTTCATGACCAGCAAAATAAAACAGCTTCACCATTCTTCTTCAGCCTCAGCTACTTGTTGCTGGCCACCAAAGTTATTCTGTAAATAATAAAAATTTAATAATTGCAATAAAAAATTTAATTGATTATTTAATAAAAATTTCTTTATACCCCTCGCATATCATGTCCACCAAAGGCATCATTTCCACCATCTGCAACATTAATATTCTGCAGGAACTCGGGTATGGGTTGACCAGCATCGGTTAAAATTCTGACTAAATCAGCAGCAAGGGGCTCATCCTGTTGATGGTCATAAAATGAAGTAGCTTTTCCTTTGTTTCCAACTCTACCAGTTCGGCCAATGCGATGTACGTACTCGTCAATAGATTTAGGTAGATCATAGTTGATAACATGGCGGACATTTTTGATATCTAAAAAATATCAAAAAAGATTTAATATGAATTAAAATGTTATTGTAACTTAAATTTGCTTTATATAACTTTAAATGATATAAGATTGTAATCTGGATCTGTATGATAGCATTTTTTAAAACTAAACTTACCCAATCCTCTGGAAGCAACACCTGTAGCTACCAAAACACCACGAGTACCTTGCTTGAAGTCTCTTAAAGCTTCTTCACGTTCTCTTTGCAGACGATCACCATGAATACTTGTAGTCGGTATTCCTTGTTCACTTAATAAAGCAGCAATAAAATCTGCATTTCTTTTAGTCTCCACGAAAACAATTACACCTAAAACAAAAAGTTTTAAAATGAATACAAGTACAATATCAATACATAAGTTACATTATAGTTAATGAATTTTATTCTCATTACCAATATATTCTTTATCTTCATTTAAAATTTCCTTAAGCTTGTCTTTCTTTTTAAAACGTTCTACTTCATGAAACATTTGATCAACATCTGAGCAAGCACCTCCAACAATGCCTACAGCAATGAAAACGTAGTTTTCCAAGAACTTTCCAGCAACTCTTTGCACATCCTCAGGAAAGGTTGCAGAGAACATTAATGTTTGCCTATTTTCCTGCAAGTATAAAAATATTTTATGTATAAAGTATAAAAATGAGCTGCTTGAATTGTTTTTACCCTTGGTGCCATGCTAGGATTATTCATTAATTTTTCCATTTCAGGTAAGAAGCCCATATCCAACATTCGATCTGCTTCATCTAAGACTATGAACTTAATAGAGTTCAATTGAATACGTCCACGACCTAGGAAATCATTTAAACGACCAGGTGTAGCTACTAAAATATGGCATCCATTCTAAAAATGGATAAGTCATTAGTGATTGTTATTTTTGGTAATAACAAATTAATTCACTAACCATTATACGGTCTCCTTGGTGGCGCACACCTGTACCACCATATGCCATGCACACTTTCAAAACTGATGAATGAGCAAATTTGCGAGCTTCGCTATGAATTTGAATAGTAAGTTCTCTAGTTGGTGTGACTATTATACATTGGGGCTCAATATAATCTCCTGCAACTATCAGTTGTGGATCCTCCAGGATAATATTGATAATGGGAAGTAAAAACGAAGCCTGCAGATTTAAAATTGGTAAAATTTAACATAATGCTTAATTATAACTATAAAATTAGTGTTACATAATATGGCCAAGTAAATATATAGTATAAAACAAAAATTTGTAAACTTACAGTTTTTCCACTTCCAGTTTGGGCACATCCCATAACATCTCTCCCTGCCATTACAATGGGTAATGTGTATTTCTGAATAGGTGTAGGAACTGTATATTTACTGTTCATAATATTTTCAAGAACAATTTTCCGAAGCCCTGCCTCTTCAAAGCTCTGTATGGGTACAGGTACATCCATTCCAGAGACCTATTAAAATAAAATTTATTAGAAAAATTCATGTGTTACAAAAATATTTTATAGAATTATATACCTTCACTTCTATATTTTCATATTTTGAGAAATTGATACCGGTGCTTATGCCACTCTCAAATATATCTTTTTCATCCTCTGATGGATCGGGTGGAATATATAGTTCCCTAGGTTTCTGTGGCTGGTCACCATTATCGCCATATCTGTCACCCCCTCGGTAGTTATCTCTATCACCACCACCATCCTCATTGTCACCATCTATAAAAATTTTACAAATAAATTTTGAATAAATATGAATTAAGTTAAAAACAAGAGCAACATATTTATAATTGATTAAAAAGAATGGTAATCAATGTACAAACCTCCACCATCTCCATATCTCCGACCACCACCACGACCACCTCGAAAGCCACCTCTACCTCCTCGGCCTCCCCTGCCCCTTCCACCACGCTCATCATCGCCACGATCACCGTACCCTGAATTATCATTTTGATAGTCATTTTGAGAGCCATCCCTATCTCCATATTCACCATCATTGTCCCTTGATCTTGAGTAGCCTCCTCTTGAATAAGCTAATAAAGAAATTAAGTAATCAAATGATTGCAGGAAATAAAGTTTTTCAATCGCCAGTTTAGATTACAAATGTAAGTATGTATAGTAATACATATACTCCCATAGCACGTATAAGAATATCGAATATACATAAATTTGTTACTACAAATATGAACACATTCGAAGTATGAATACAACTCACTTCTATTACCTCGGCCTCTATAACCAGTGGATCCACCACCCCTTGAACCTTGGTCATCATCTTGATTTCCTATTCAAGAAAAGGATATTTTTACAAAACAGTCAGTATAAAACATTGCGATATCACTAACCATAATTTTGTTCCGACGAATCGTTGTAATTCGTGGCGGGTTCATTAAAAGTCCGCGCTGGGCCCATACCAACACCTACCTATAATTAAAAAACATAAACTATCAGTATATTGTGGTTATAAACTCAATATCAAAATACGCAGGCATTAACCTAATTTACAACAAAATTATTCATTTACTTACAGCGTCATCGTCTTCCCAGTCGCTCATTGTGGCTTATAATCTGTAGAGAATTAAATTTTATAAGTTATTACAGATTTGTGCAATTCTTTTGTTAATTAAGTTACGCAAAACAAAACTAATTCAACGCGAGTGCAAAGCATATATGACGGCAATGCGATTGGCGGTAATGCCGAACACGTGCAATCCTATTGGTCAAGTCCACAAGTGGTTGTTGATCACATTTATCAAAATAAAATAAAGCAATAAAAACGATTTGGTTAAATAACCTTTATCACATATATTCTATTAAACTCCGATGCTAATAATAATATATATTATCACTTACTTCTATAAGCACTCACCAATAAAATAAGCCAAACAAATTAACTCGATCCAACTGTCTTTCACAAACCGCAAGAACCAAACTTGATCTGCGCAGTAGAGTTGCGAATGATGAATAGATTAACTTGCACAAAATGCTGCTCGTACTTTTGCGGAACACGCTGAACTTAGCCGAAAATCACGATGTTCCACTGTTTCTCAATGCGTTATTGATCGCGTATTTTTCATCGAATGAATTATTTTTGTTTTGAGTTTCAAATTAGTTCAAATATCTTAAACAAAAAAAAAACAGAGTAGTAGGCTGATTATAATTATATATTATTTGTCATTTATATACATTGAATTATATATAATATTTAAAATTACATATTAGGCGTGACAATATTTTAAATGTATAGGTATTCAAAAACGTTAATAAAGTATTAACACGTTAATGAAATATTAAAATAAGAATGAAGTTATAAAAATTATTTATAATATATAGTTTTACAATATAAGTGGCCATTGATAAATAAACATAAATCAAGTGACCTTATCTCTTTAATTTTGACATGTTAATACAATGTAAAATATTTATTTACTATTATCTTTTCTCGAATTTAATATCTTTCATCATATCTTTCTACTTTTGTCAGCATTTTGTTCTGCATACTTTTTAATCTTAATTTTAATCCTTTTTCTAACAATAAATGTTTTGGAACTTCTGACCAATCGATGTAATATGCAGATATGTTCAGTTCAAATAACTGACATTCAAATTCGATATTAAATAATTTTATTGTTACAAGCCGGCCTTTTGTATTAACAATAAGAATAAAATAAATGTCCATAATCTTATGCTTTATCAATACAGATAAAAGAAATAAACTAAACAATATTTCTTGTTAAAAAATCATTTTAAATGCAAGTTGCAGTATAATAAAAGAACACATTTTGGATAAGATATTATTCACTGAAAACTAAACTCAACAGCAAAAAGCAATTCTTGAAATAAGACAAAATTTTAAATATTTAATTTTTATTTAATTAAAAAATAACAAATATATTCAATTAAAAAATATATATAATAACAAATGTTTGATTTATTAAAGCTCTAACTATTTTTATTTAGATATTAAAAATTGATTCATAAAATTGTTTAATTCATTAAAAACAGCTAATCTATTATTTTTTACTGAAATTCTATGTCTCAATTGAAATTTCATTAAATAAATGTTGTTTAGCATATTCCCATACAAATACAGCTCCTGTAACATGAACATTCAACGATCTAATCAAGCCCTTTTGTGGAATTTCAATACTCATATCCAGTAGCGGTAATAAATTAGCAGGTACACCTTCTTTTTCATTTCTGCAAATGCAAGATTATAAATATATATATATATATATATATATATTTATATATATATATATATATATATATACATATATACGTAATTTATGTATTTTAATATATTACCCTAGAAGTAATAAGCATTTATAAGGCAGTACAGTATTTGTGAGGCAATGGCTCTTGGCTGTTTGTTCCGCTCCAATAATTGTATATCCTTCTGATCTTTTTTTCATAATATATTCTGATATTTCCCATAACTTTACCTCAACAATATTGAGCCATTTTTCAGATGACATGCTTTATATGAAACCAATTACAATGATTAATTTTTTAAGATAATTATACTTCTTATAGAATACTAATTTTATTATATAAAATATTACTAATGAAAAAAACTATAAATTAAAAAATGAAAATTTACAAACCTAAGACTCAGAAATTGTTTATCTTTCATAATTTGTAAATTATCTATGGCATATTCTTCCACTCCAAAAACTTCGCAGGTCCTGGCTAATCCACCTAAATTTGGAGCTAAGTTAATAAGAGAAGCCACTACTATCAGACTTGATTTTGAAACCTAAAGAGATGAAATATTGTCTTAATAATACTGAATATAAATAATTTTCAGATAATAACTACGTTAAATACATTTTCTCCATATAGTTTATCACCAGATTCCACTACATCCATTGATCTCCATGGTGTAATTTTTTGCTGAATGTTTAGATCAGCTTCATGCTCTAATTCTTCTGAAGATTTTTCCATACTTTGCAAATTTACACCCCAAGCGCTAAATTGAGCTTGATCTAAGGAGGAACCCCTATTGTATAAACTAATAACATTTTCATGTTCATAGTTATCCGAAGAACATAATTTTGTAAATAGACTAGGATGAATGATATCCTCATAAGTGTAGTTTGTTAGTTTTGGAAGAACATAGAAAATTATTTCTAATGATAAGTGCTTCATTATATTAAAATCTGTTAAAAATATGTCCTCTTCAACTTTTTTAACAAATTTAGCAGCATTTCCATAAGACAAAATAGTTGATAAGCTTCCACATATTACATCTGATGATTTGAGATCTGTGCAGTCTCTTAAAAGCATCAACTTTTTAGCAACAACTTGAGCATAAAGACGTAAATTGAAGTGTTGACCCATTGTCCAAGGCATAATTTTAGAAAGTGACATCTGAATAAAATCAATCTTTTGAGATTGTTCATTTGCATAAACTTGTTGAACTAGCAAATATATAATTGTTATAAAAGAAGTCATTGCTCCAATCCGCACATCCACTACCTGAAAAGAGAAAATGTGTCCTTTAACATCAATGAGCAGAATATATCTCAAAAAATAATACCTTATCTATGGATGTCCATATATGGTCTATTAAAACCATTTCACTTGCAATTATTCGTGCTGATAACCATTCCTATGAATAAAAATATGTATGATTAATAATTAAAATCTGCTTCGCAATTTATAATCAAAAAGTACAAAATATTGATATCATACCAATTGGTATCTCACACTAGGCTGATGAACAAAATTGATCAAATTCTCATTAGCCCAAATTAAAACTTCTTTATTTTTTTCAATATCCCAAAATGGTTGAAGAATCAGTAACGTTTGCAAAACTCTTTGTTTAAATCTAAATCAATCAAATTATATTAAAACCATTTATAAAATAATATTCAATGTGAATTTAAAATTATCACAAATATTTACTAATATGCAAATATTTAAATTATAACTTTTATACCTGTGATGTTTAGAATCTGAAAAATATCTAGGCTTACTTTTGTCTTCAATCACAGATTTTTGAATCAATGCATCTGTTATATAGTTGAGAAACAATTTACCACTATTATTTAAGTTACTGCCTTCGCTGCTTCTTGATTTAAGTAATATTTTTAATACTGAAATTATAGACCAAGCTCGAACTACTACACTTGAATTCAATGAACTAAAAAGATTAAATGTATTAGGTATAAAGATCATATATTCATAAATAATTTCTTATTGTAATAAATCCTAGATTTATTAGTCTTTACTATTGCATTTTTAGTATAGAGAATTAAATATAATATTAATACTTACTGATTTTCAACATTTTCATTATTTTTTATAATCTGACAAACATGATTCTCAATTCTGTAACAAAGTATAAAGCATGAAACTTATTGCGCAACAAAAGCAAAAACATATATATTTTGTTTTCCATAAATTACCTTTGGTCTCGTCTTGATGTATTTCCAAACAGCAATCCATAAATTAAAAATTCATTAAAATTGTAATAGTCATTTAAATCAGTATTAAAGAAAACTTTTTCGACTACTATGTTAGTTAAACCTTGAATTGTGTTACCAATTTCAATAATTCGTAGGTAATATTCCTGAGCAATTACAGGTACTATTTTATTATCAATACCACCAGGTTGAATGAGCATATCTGAGAAGATTAATAAAATACATGAAATTGTTTTCGAATACTTAATAAGTATTTTAACTTACCAATAAAAGCTTGCATGCATGGTAAAAATAAATCAGATTTTTTCAAATTCATTGATTCAATCCAACACCTATTGACTATCTTTTCTATATGTTCAGCTTGTAAATTTTTATAAAGAACAATATTTTTCAATACTTTCATTGCATCCAGAACAACATCATGCCCTCCAAAATCTAGTACGTCTTCAACATAATTTAGGAGATTTTCATCATTGGAGGCATTTGTAACTCTTAGATATTTGCACAAAATATTGCAGAAGTTTTTATGATAATTTGATGCAATTTTACCACTCCTTGCAATATCACAACTTTTACAGTCTTCATTAGAAATATTTCTATGGCAAAGTACTGAATGATAAATTTTTTGTATTTGTACAATATTTTTGTTATGGTTTTTATTAGCTCCTTTATCTTCATAATAATTTTGAGCAAAAGCGGTTAATAAGGTAATATTTGCATATTTTTCTATGAAACTACATTGATTGGATAATTTATTTATGCATACGTCTGTTAGATAATCAACATTAGATTCACATTCATCATCAAAATAATTATTTGAAAGACATTCCTTTATAAAATGTATGCATTTTTCAAAAATTTCCAAATCTTGACTACATTTACATGAAATCATTTTTATTTCTGTATATTTGAAAATAGATTTAATATATTTAAATAAAAAGCTAGCAACTATTGTTTTTGTAGTATCATTGGTATTTAGATCTTCAGATTTTATAGCTCGTAATAATAAAATTGCCATATCCACTGCTTTAGTTTGATTTTCTTGAGAAGCATACATTCTAGTTTCACAATTAAGAAAATAATTAAAATATAAAGATAGAAATCTTTTAAATTCTTCTTGTTTCAACATACGTGCATCTAGGCCAAGAATTAAGAAGTAAATTATCTGCTTCACAGAAAATTCAGGTGTTAAAGAATCTGTTAACATGTGATAAATATTATAATTTTGTGAATGTAATTTTGTAGCAAAAGCCTCAAGAATGGTCCACATCTGTGTTCCTCGAGTCACTGAATCTAGTTCTTGGAATATATGAATCATAATTTCTGGTATTTGTTTTGCATGATTCAATTTTATAAAGTTTTTTGTATAGTACAAAATAATATTTTTTTGAATGGCTGATCTGATATAGGTATTTGGACAATTTGAACTAGCTCTCATAACTTTCTGGAATAAAGAAAGGAATGTTTCAGGTTCCAAAACAAAATTATCATAAGGTTCACTTTTTGCCAGTGCATATGATATATAAAAAAAAGGTACAGGAGCCCAATTAATGGAAGTAACAGGTATTAATATTTTGCTTCCAGTATTTTGGAAAAATTCTATCAAATATGGAAATATATCTTCATGCTTATCGTTCTGTTCATTATACATTTTTGTATTATTTATAGCTGCTAAAAATTGCTGAATTAAATTATGTGATTCCAAATTGTAACTGCAATTTGCAGTTAAAAATTTAACTGCATATATAATACCATATCGTTTTACAACATCTGTATCATGATTTAATATTTCACATATTAGTGCATCCATCCATAAATCTGGAATACTTTTCAATGAATAAATTAGTTTCATTGCTGGCATAACTATATGAGATGATTTTTCATCCAAGGAGTCCATTATTAAAAAATATGTTAACCAATTTTGCTCTAGATCATGTTGATTTTCATCATTCCAATAAAACAAAGATTTTAAAGATTCTGGTACAGATATTTGTTTATTTGATACAATACAAATATCAATGGTCCTTTTTAGCAGATACATTGACTGTTTACGATACAAGTTATGTGACAATCTTATGCCATAATTCAAAAATTTCCAGTACAAATGATCATTAATAATTGAATTAAACACATTGTGTTCTGATAATAAATATAAATTAGAAAGATTACACATTATATCCAAAGAAACTGACAATTTATCATCGTTGTTACAATCTTGTTTTAAATTTTCCCAGAGCGGTAAGATGAATGATGTATCTCCTGACAAAGCTACAAGTTTTTCACAAATAATTATTAGTATTGATCGTAAAGGCTTAGATGTTACTTGAAGCATTATTTTTGCACATAAATTCATTACAGATGTTTGTAGGTCTGTGTCCAAATGCATTTCTGGTTGAATGGAAGCAACTATCGCATAAACAATTTTAAGCTTTTGTAATTGATTTACTTCACTTTCAGATACATTATTCAAGATGGTATAAATGTCATTTAGATGAGAATCTTGTGTGATTGTAAGAAGTACAGATATGTTATTTAATAAAATAATCTTTTCTTCATCTTCAATCTTTAATTCATCTACGATCTGTAGGCAATTGTGAATAGTAAAATTAGATTTAATTTTTATGTCATTGTAAGCAGCAATTACTAGAAACATACGAATTTTATCCAAATAATTCTCATCACAGTTTTGCATGTTTTCAACACACATGTTTTGTAAGGTTTGAATTACATTATCAAATGTAATTATATTACCAGACAGAATACACTTTGGATATAATTTACAAATTTTTGAAAATTCAGGGCCTAAACATTTGGAATTCATTTTTGCTGTTATTGTAATTAAAAGTAATAATAAAAGTGTTGAAGAAAGAAATATTTACAATGAAAACAAAAAACATAACCTCAAAACATAAAAATGATATCGCCATCTTAAGTTATACTTCAAACTATTGAAAACCGATTTAGCGGTTTATTATTTAAACTTTAATTTAAATTTATTGTGTAATTGTGCATTGTATAATAAATGCTTTATATTTAAAAGTATATTCCTTTCGAAAAATTTTAAAAGGAAATTAATTATTCTTATAATTTGTTGATTGCACATAAAATGTCAAAGAAATTTGTCCAAAAATTGTCAACGCGATCATTCTTCACTAAATAAATCAAGGTAAATGTAGTTATAAGTCTTTCTTTTAGTTATAAGTCTTTTTATCAGAGTTTAAATTATAAATTGCTAATAGAAATACATATATACATACCCACAAAGTGTCAAAGGAAAGATTTGATTTTAATAATAATATTTATTATCAATTTCAAAATGGCGTAGAATTTCATTTGAATTTAATTCCAATTAGAATCTTTCGTGAACGAGGCATTTCCAATTAGACAAAAATATACATTTTTTGTTATCATGTTATATTTATATATTGAATATTATCATCAATTTATATACTTATGAGAATATTTTTATATATAATGTGCGAAAAAGTTAAATATAACACATTACCAAGAATTGCATCAATGTTGACCATTTGAAGTATAATTCTTATTGGAATGCTTCTGTATATATACATTTTTATCACTTTATTTTTTGGTGGCAAGAATTCATTTAATTTTTTGTTTAATACAAAATAAATCAGTTTAAACTATTCATTTAAAATATTTTAAATATATTTAATAACTAGTGGTGTATGGCAAATTGCTGGAACTTTCCGTACCGTAACGAAATGTTCGAGGCATGTTGAATGTTTTTAAATATATTATTATTAATATTGCTCAAAAACTGCTATTTTTTGCACATTTAGCTCTGTATCTACAAAATGGCTGAACCTGCCCTTGCCAAAAACTAATCACTTCTTCTCCCAATTATTACAAATTGAATGTTTTTTAGATCATTCAAATCGGATACTCCTTTCTCTCAAAAACTCGATTTGTATTTTCTGCACTCTTTGCTCCGTATCTCCGTAACGGCAGGACCTGCCTTTGCCAAAAACTAATTAGCACATCTTCCTACCAATAGGAAACGAATGTTTTTGAATCATTCAAAGTGGGTGATCCGTGCTCCCGAAAACGTGGACGAAACAATGCGGACATACTAAACACACACACACATACACACACATAAATTTTTTCTGAGGTATGCCAAAATGTTCAGAAATCTTCAAAACGTGAAAATATGCAAAAGTTAATCAAGTTAATAAAAATATAATATTATAATAACATTTTATGCACAAATTATAAACACTACCCTCCTGCAATAAATATTTATTAATTAAATATCTATCAATATTGAAATAAAGAAGCATAGATTTACATGAAGATGTACGTATTTTTTGCTAGAAGACAGTTTCTAGTTTACCCATTTACTATTCATGAATAAAGTCATAAACAAAATAACGTAAGCGCATATTTCTGAATAAATAAGGCTTTATTTTAAAATAATACAACGGGATCTATTATATTTACTTATATTAAACGATAACGTCATTATTTTAAGAAGAAAACAATTTGCACTATTGATCTGTTAAACCATTCAGAATTTAACACCCACACATCTATGTACTAGGTGTAAATAATGACTTGCCAAATAAAATATTAATAAAGAATTCTAAGAAAAAAATATAATCATATATTGATTATATTTTATATTTAATTAATAGTGGTGAAAACCATTTTTTCGCCATTTCATAAAATTCTGCATATTGTTTAATTTTGTTTTAACAAATCAGGCTTCAACTTCATCTTCACCCTCATCTTCTTTAGAAAATGCCAACAAATATAAGCCAAAAAATTAACAAATATAGATTTTATGTAAATTTCAAATTTGTGTTAATAAGTATATAAACGATAGTTTCATAAACCATTGTCTTAATATTTATGATGTGATTTGCCTATATATCTATTTATACAAAATTATTTATATAATCCAGTTGCCTATTTTATAACAGAATGGCTGTATCTAATTTCTATTGATTTTACACCAACTCACTGTAAAGATAGTAGTATCAACCTGTACTAGGTCACGGTAACATTACACATCTATAAATATAAAATATAAATATGAATCTATTATATACATATATATATATATATATATATATATATATATATATAGATTTACAAAAAATTATTAGATTTATCTAGAAAAATTCAAATTTTTAGGTGTCTTATGGCAGCCTCAGGTTATGGACTTAGCCAGGGGGTGGATAGAAAGCTTTTTTTTATAAATTAACTTTTCATCTAAATTGCAAGTAATTACTCATATCTCCAGAATAACAAAATAATCGTGTTTCTGAAATATAAATAATAATTTATATGTTTAAGAGTATATCAAAGAGGTAGTTCCAATTTCTCTGAAAAATTGTTCCTAAATTTACCTAATATACAATAAAATATAAAAAAATGAAATACTATAAATATTAAGAATTGTTTGTAAAAGGTAGGTATGTACTTCTGAGAAATTTGTGTATATAATTGATAAGCATTCTTAATAAGTACATATTGAGTAGTTGATAAAGTATTTATCAATTGTGTCCATCTTTCTTTTTCAAAATGCGATTTCCAGTATTCATTTTGCAATAAAACTAGGTATAATAAAAAGCAAATATGCGAATATATTTTTTATTTAATGTAGCATTTTATAAAAACCCACATCATGAAGTATATTCGCAAATGATCTCATCATTCTGTTTGTAAACCGATAGACAAAACTACATTTTAAATTTTTTTATACCATCATTTCATTGATTTCAAATCGTTTTTTTATTAGATACCAGACTTGTTTTAAATATGAAATGTAAAAATAATAATAAACTATCAGTCAATGAGATCATAAAATTATTTGTTAGATTAAAAATTTATTTCTAATATTTAACGATAATTTTTCTATATGTTATAAATATTATAATAGTAAAAAACTCTTATACAAAAGCTATATAGAAATGCCAGCAAAGGAAATAAATATGTGTAATATTATAACACTCATTAATAAAATTCTAATTAATAACATTGTTTTATAGTTGAAATCAAAATCAAGCTCTAATGAATATATTGATATATTATTTTGAATACTTACATATTTTTTGCTCTACATTTTTTTTAAATTTGTTTGAGGCTTTTAACAGGATGGTCAATTAGACCTTTGTTACAGAGTTAATAAATGTAATAGGTATACAATATGCTTATTAGACACTTAAAAGATAATAAATTATTATTACTTATTTTATGAATTAAATTATTAATACTTTAATTTTAATTAACTAAATTCTTTATACTTATTTTAAAAAGATAAAGAACAATAAACAATCTCCAATATATATCAAACAGAAATAAAACTAATTGTAAGTGTTAAACATATTAAAAATGCAAAACAAAATATAAAAAAAATAAATTATAGAAAACAGAAAAAAACTAAATATAGAAAAACAAAAACAAAAACTTGAAGCATTTTTTTAAATAATTGATAATACGATTAATATCATGTACCAAGAGGGCAGATTACGTTTATTCATTTATTTACTTATTTATTCATTTTACAAGCCGTCAGTATAATGATATTATAATAAAGTTCATGTCAATATTTTACAAATTTTATATAACTCAATTAACTATTTTATTACTTATTCATTTATTATTTAATTTATTTACTATAAACTTATTTATATTTAGATTATCTTTATTTTTAATTATTTAATTTTTTAAAATGCTGAAGATTGTATATATTTGTAGGTATGGAGTATTATACATATATACACCGCACGTTTAACCAGAAACATTTTGTATGTATAATTTTTGAACTTAGATTTGTAATTATGATTTATTTATATTTAACAAAACTATAATATAACGATTTGTACTTTTATACGTGTATATTTAAAATTTAATTTCGCACCATTAGAAAAAATTATTTCAATATCGTGCTAACGATTAGGATGAAAGTATTTAAAATTTTTAAAGAAGAGTAAGTGGAGAGTAATTTTATTGGAAGATACTAATATTATTAACACTATTATTGAAAACTGTAAGATTTTTCATAAGAATCTATAACTCTATTTATTCTTATGAGTTTGTACCTGTATTTTCTCCACGTCTATTATTTCAATTTTATCTTCTCATCATGATCATAACTCATTTCACAGGTGAATTCTCGAGATTTCTAGGATACGTTCGAATCAAGGCCGCGATTAGAGAAGATCTCGGCAGTCAAATTATTGCTGAGGTCACCTCATGGCACGCGACTGAAAAGAAACATTGTTTCAAGTGCCAAATAATTTGATTTCTTTTTTATTTATCCTTTATACTTTCGAAAAAAATGTCTGATTGATGAAAAGAAATTATATAATGCCATACTAGTTCAGAAAAAAATTGTACTGAAGAAGATGTATGTCCATTAATCACGTCAGCTGATAATGTTGTTAAATATAAATAAATAATAATTACAAATTTAAGTTAAATTGTACATTTAAATACAATATTTTGGTTCAGAAATATTTTTACATCGTATTATATATGCATATTTAATATTCCTCGAATATTTCATTAAGGTACGGAAAGTTTGCCTTAAGGCACGATGCCATACACCACTAGTTTTTTCTATAATTGATAATATCACTTTATACATGTATACATGTATCATACATGTATAATACTCTATACCTACAGATATAATCTTTTAATCTTTTTGAATAAATAAACGTAATTCAGCCCTCT